GCTTTGATTCTACAGATAAAGAAACGAACATTAGAAAAATAAGTATGAATCTAAGGTCAAATTCTGATTCACCAATAGAATACTAGAAATATTGGTGGATGGAAAATTAACTACGCTTGTCAACTCATCGAATTTGTGAAGATATTGAGTGAAATATATCTGCTATAGGATTATGTTTACTTAATACAAACTACTTACTACAAAAACAAATTATAAAAATATTAACACTGAGATTGTAAGTATGAAATGTACTTTAGACAACACAAGGAAACATGGACCAGAATATAAACATACTCTCGGTGATGACTTTCTAAAAGATGGTCTGGAAGTTCGTGTATTCTGGAATTCGGATCATTTAATAATGAGTTACCATAAATCGTTATACTTAAGTAACTTTTGCAAAACTTGATTACATTAATTTAGGAAGTTGAAACAACAAGCGATAAAAATTCTAAGAAAAAAACTGACAATAAAAATAAGTAGTAGTATACCTATAAGTCCAACAACTTTATTTGGCGATTCATGCAAGGACGTAACTGATGAAACTTCTGGTTTCTATTTCATTCAAACAAACAAAAAACAATTAACTTGAGGTTGAAATAAAGACGATAGATTTTATAACATCATAAATCATAATAGGATAAGTCAAATAAACACAAATATATACAGTGGTAACAGAATAAAGTTTTACATTGATAACTGAGTGATTGCAGTGGTGTTTTCTGACTCTACATATTCTCTAAATTTATTTTTTCACTTGCTTTAGAGTTGTATAGAAATTCATGACAGTAAATAAATCACCCTATCTAAAAGTGTAATCTAATAAATATGTATCTGTGAACAAGTTCAGGATTTGCAACATTAAACCACGTTTTGGAAGATGTTCTTACGCAAGTTATACAGTGAAAGTTATCATCCAACACAAATCATATCTGTAGTAACTCAGGGTATAATTGAGGTACATGGTAAACTACGACGCTGAGAGTGATTTTTATAGAGTTTGCTATCCTAATAACACGAACATCATATGAACTCACTCTACGGAAATTATTTGTTTCAGGTTCGATCTGTAATCAGTATCACAACTAATCACATTCAACTGAAGTGATATTAATTGTATACTTGAATAAGCACGTTACGAAAGTAAACACATAGTCGTTTGATTGGTTAATGAGTAGTTTTTGCACACAGACAGGATAAGCAGGTTCTTTATCTGCATGCATGTGTAAACCATGGTCTATTTTTAAACAATACCAACTTCTAGAATAATCATCGCCGATGCGTATTCAGAAGACCCGTCTATAACTCAAGCTTCAACTCTAAAACATTACATTGTAACCAGCTGACAATGACTTTTGTTTGTATTCTGATTATTCACTAATATTCACTTAACTTGTCTGCTAATTAGACAAGAGCTGACATAAATAGGCTGACTTTATCTACTATTACAACCACAAAGCAAATCAAAATAATCCCCAAGTCAACCGTCAAACCATTGAAAAGGGTAAATGAGACTTGAACGTATCTACGAAATGCCGTGAAAATAGTAAGAAAAATTTTAGTAGCTTTGAGAAACGTTACAGTCTTAAACACAATACTTTACAGAGTTCTTCGCTTTCACAGGGCTATTCAAATCTACTGACAAATTCATACAAGTAATGTGTGCAGTCCATTTTCAAGAGTTTAAATATGATAATAAAAAGGATAAAATCAAGGTAGTAGCTGTTTATTTATACAGGTATTAAAATGACAGATGAGATAGTTTAACAAGATTAAGCGATCCTCTCAACCGTTTTAAAACTATATAATCTAATAAATTCGAACTGGGCACTTAATACGTCCATAAGCCTACAGGATTAAAAGTATATAATCCACTGGATTTAGAGATTGAAAAACACGGCTACAAAATCAATAATATACTTGATGAAAGCACCAAGCTGTGATTTGCATGAAACACAAATCAACAAATTACTGGTGGTGAATAGTAAATATACCATATAAAATAAGGAAATTATTGACAAAAATTCAACCCACAATGAAAAGGATGTAAACTCACCTTACCAAAAAAATTTAGTAAACTCGATTGCCTCATCTCGCCAAAACAATCTGCAAAATAATACTTTGTTTATAATTTTACCAGACAAAAGCAAACACGGAGTAATGTAAAAAGGACGAATTTACATTAATTAATTTAGATATCTCTATAAGAAATACCTGCCGAAACTATTTAGCTAAGTGCCGATTCATATCCTCGAACTGTGATGGATAACTTTCGATTCAATCAACTAAACTTATATCCTTATTGCTAAGTTGTCATGAAAACGCAGAAATGCACAAGACTAGTGGCACACAAGCAATGAATTTCATGGATGGTTTACAGAGTTTATCTGTTGCGGTACTTATATTGACAACTGGCGATTTAGGATAAAATTAATCCTAATGCCCACAAATGGAAGCAGGAATTGTATTGTATAGTGTAATCAAAAAACTTTGAACATTTTATTAAGGGAATTTATCATTATTAATACCTGCCTAATGGCCAATCTAATTATAGGGTTGTCATCAAAACCTTGGAGAGAACACAACTTTATTTATAAATGAGGATAGGCATGGTAAACTTCGACTTACTCTGAAAAACATGAACAGTCTGATTTAACTTATTACTGCAAGCTAGTATTCAGACTTCTTTCTTCTCAGGCCTAATTTTAAAACATGAACATACTCTTTCTTCTTCATGCAATACCAGTATTCACGTTTTACAACTTCAGGCCATTGAAACTATCAAATGTTTATTATACATAATGCATAAAAAAGGATCTAACCGAAAACAATATTGTTCGCTTATATATGTTGTTCTAAATTTACAATAAGGGAATATTTCAAAGGTTAACAAGTTACGTTTGTTGATGATAATATCAGTGATAGTTTGTAGCTCAGAGTTAGCCAGTTAATGTCATAGAAAATGTGGGACCTTACACAAATATGCATCGCCCCAACTCCTAACACCTCATATCACCAAATAGATAAATGAAACTTATAGGATGAAAATTAGGGGAGGAAAAATAGTATCCAATACAATGAAGAGTCATACAAAAAGCATGCATTCTGAAGGGAATAAATGATATGCAAGTTAAAATTATGAGAACAATAAACAATGACTGCGGTGACACTACTATGGTCAATTTTAAGTCGCCACACAACGCTCATAATCATGGATTATGATTATCACAAGTATCGTAACCTGGAAGTTCAAAACTAGACGTAATGATACAACGCACTAGAAGTCATTGATGTTATAAACTGATCCTATTTTTTATCTTATGCTAGTTTTTCCCCAGCTTACTCTATTCCAGATAACATTGAGAGTAACGAAATATGGAAGGTTTGTGTACTCATCAAACAACTTACTATGCCTACACCGAACCCTACGCTTGATCTCAAAACTACTTAATTGATGATGTTATAAGTCATTTGGACATATATGTCAACAAACGCTAGTAACTAACTGAAGTCTTGTACCTTTGTTGGTTTGTACACCGAAATAGAGAAAACAGCTTAAATTGATGTAGATAAAGGTTAAAGACAGGTTACAGAAAAATTACAGTTATACACAACCTAAGTCTCTTCATTTCACAATCAGAAAAAAGATATATGCCATTAATCAACTATCCCAAATTTATTAGTAGCCGGAAAATAGGCGCGAAATTTACTTCAAACTCACAGGAGTGAAATTTAGGATCAAAATCAAATGGATAGTAAATTTTTCCAGTTTCGCCTAAACATTGGATAATCATATATTAGACAATATCATTTATTAAATATCATCGCAGAGTGGATCTCTGCCTCTTTTATAAGAAGGGAGATTAGTAACATGACACCAAGTCCAAGGCTTTGTTAAACAAAGCTGTAAATAAATACGATTATTCATTTTACGAATGTAACTCACTAATCAGGTGAAGTTTAGTTTATTCTTAGGTTTGAGTCATACTACTGTAAGAAATACTGATACCACCGCTTTCCACAACCAGAAGTAGGTCGAATCGGTTTTGAATCTAAGGTCAATGCCTGAAAACCGAGTGCATTATTCGTTGAGATGACCATTACTTTGAAATCCATGACTACTAAAACACATACATAGAAATCACCAAAGTTTAACAGAAATTTAAGAAGTCCCCTCTTAAATGGTTTCTATCGTGATATTGATTAGCATATATATATTACCGCGAACCATCAATGAACAGTACTTAAACGACATCCTGGACCCTGATTTATACGTTAGGACGATGTTATTTGACTAAAAGATTTAAAAGTGGATTTGGAACTGTAATTAATGAAGGTAACTAATTTCTTAGTTGTTCAATAAAACAATTAATTACACTTCTAATAACTAAAAATGTCAATTCATTTTACATACCTCAAAGTATATTAGAATGAGCTCTAGATCAACAAATATCAATTATCTATCATTCTGATATATAACTTTAGGTTTATGCTAGCCCTCATCTAGAACACCTTCAAAATTATAATTTTATGCTGTATTTTTAAAGAAATTATTGTTATAATACAAGTTGAGTACAGATGTAAAGTGACCGAAAATAATAATTACACAAATATTTGTAATTAATTACGAAAGCTTATTTTTATCGAAACGTTAAACAAACAAAATATCACATTATGCTCCTGTAAATTCACAACAACCTGATTAGAATACTTACTATTTGACAAAATAAAAGATAAAAGAGAAAATTAACAATTTTATTATTTAGCAAGCAGGTTAATTACAAGTAAAGATAAGCAGAAATAGAACTTTTGTACACAAAGATATTCTTATAAAAAAATAATAAGAGGGATATACATACGTTATAATCGTTGGCTCTGTTTTACACATGATCAGATGAAAATATCAAATAAATGTGAGGGTTAAAAGAAAAAAAATATTTAAAATATATAGCATTGCATGGATTGTTACAAGTTAGTAGAGAATAATTTCAGCGTTAGAGTTAGACTATCTTTTCAGTTTGAATATTATCCCCGGAATTCCTAACACGAAGTAATTCAGATCCAATTCCTACTTCAGAACTGGAAACCTGATTTGAAAGAAGAGGGTTGATTTCGTTGTCACAGTATGCAATACTATTACAATCGACTTCATCAGCGTCAAGAGATACAACTCGGTGATAAGTTCCTGAAAGACTGTGACGGCCTGAAAGTTGACGGTCGGAGGAGAAATTAAAATGTCTTACACTATGACCTGTAGTCAAATAAAATCAAATGTGATCAATTACATAAATATCATTAAGGATCAGTGATTTATATTTTTAAAATGAATGACTAACCCAATACCGACAAAAATTGAAGACAACCACAAAGCAAGCAACCAGTACATTTTTCCATAATAATAAGGGCAAAAACTGATATTGCAATCACAATTCATTTGAAAAGGGATTTTATCATGGATTGATATCGATTTAAAGAGGACTAGGAACCAGGAAACAACGGCAGAAATTACGACCACATACTAAATCAGACATAAGACATAAACGACTCTTGATCGTAAATTTGGGGAGCAACCAAGCTAAATTTATTTATTTATTTGAACACATAAATATTGGTACAACAGGGCACCAGATACATATACTCCACACAATAATAATGAGAATGGGAAGAGATAAATAATGTAAGGTGCGTGTAAAAAGAAAAAAAATAACGACCACAAATTAATGTATGGTAGTGAAATAATAATAATAATAATAATAATAATAATAATAATGCAAAAAACAAAAAGGTACAACCAGAATGAATTCTTTCAGTTAAAGAAGTTGCGGCCACTTTTTATGAAGTAAAAGAAAGTTACGGCAGGATCGCCACTGGCTTCTATTCTGAGTCATATCTGATAACGTCTCTAGCCATTGTGTCGCACCATTTCTCAGACCCCAACCAGGGAGTCGTGAAGGACCGACAGAAGCCAGTCCTTTGCAGCTTTCTTTCATGCCACGACACCATGTCATGCACTGACCACCTCTCCGCTTCTTCCAACCAGTCCCAGAGTCGGCAAATAATGCACGACGTGGAATTCTCAGGGACGACATTCGTAGTACATGTCCAAGCCACTGGAGTCGATGTTTCAAGATGGCGACCCCAATTGCATTATCGTCACTGCGCCCGAATACACGATGCCGAACCTCTGCATTACTAACATGGTGTTGCCACTTGATGTCAACAATCCTTCGGAAACAACGATGATCAAACACAGAGAGTCGTCTAACATCCTCAACTCGGAGAGGCCAGGTTTCACAAGCATAGAGCAAAACTGCTCTCACCGACGCGTTGTAGATCCGACCTTTTACAGCCAGACTAACATCACGAAGGCGCCAAAGGTGGCCCAGATTGGCATAAGCCGCTCTGGCTTTCACTATACGTGCATTGATCTCATCACTCACACCCCCACCAGCACTTATGCAGCTACCCAGATACACGAACTTCTCGACTACTTCTATCTGCTCACCACCTAGGGTGAGTACAGGATTAGAATCCTGCCAGTCTTGTAGAAGGACTTTGCACTTTGAAGGTTCAAAGCACATACCATACCTACGGACACTAATTGCCAACTGATTAAGTGCGGATTTCATGGCTTAGGCATTATCGCACAGTAAGACAATATCGTCCGCATACTCAAGGTCGAGAAGTCTTTCTCCAGGCAACAGATCCACACCGCCATTACTTACATCCATCAGAGCTGTTTCCAGAATGTCATCGATGGCAAAGTTGAAGAGGAATGGTGAGATTGGGCAACCCTGCCTAACCCCACTGCTCGAATGGAACAATGGGGAGAGGTGATTGTATGCCCTCACTCTGCCTGAGGTGTTTGTATATAGGGCTTTTAGGATGTTATTAAACTTCTCAGGCACACCCTTCTTCAATAGACAATCCCAGAGAACAGTCCTGTCCAACGAATCGAAGGCAGCCTTGATGTCAAGAAACACTACGATTGTTGGCCTTTGATAAGTATGGCGGTGTTCTAACACTTGGCGGAGGGTGAAGATATGATCAATGCATCCTCGACCAGAACAAAAACCAGCCTGCTCCTTGCAAGTCAATCTTTCTCGAGTTTTGAACAACCTACGAAGTATGACGGAAGCCAATAGCTTGGACGCAATCGGGAGTAGACTTATCCCCCGATAGTTGTTACAGAAAAGATGTGAACCCTTTTTAAAGATAGGAACAACTATCGACTCATTCCATGATGTTGGAACACTCTCTAGCTCCCAAACCTTTGTAAACAACGTCGTCAATTCCTTAGTCAAAAAGTCACCACCATCTTTAAAAAGAGCCGGAGGTAAGTCATCTGGGCCAGGTGATTTGTAACGCTTCAAGAGTTGGAGTTCCTTGCGGACTTCCTCCTCGTTTGGTGGATCAGTCGTCACCGGCCATGGAGGGCAGGACAGTCTGATCGATGTTGCCGGAGCAGCAGATCAGTTGAACTTAACCTTAACTCACTGATAATTCGATCAATTCATCGAGTGGCCAGTACAATCTTTTTAAATTTTGAATCAGTGTTTAAAAAAAATAGCTCACAGCTCGTTTGTACAAAGACGATCATTGTAAATACGAGTGCGTAACATTATATGAGTTAAAAAGAAAAACATTTTACATAGAACATAAAACACAAATACGAGATCATTTAGTTCTAAGCATGTAATTTAATCATAAGAAACTCAGAAAAATTAATTTCATATCCTACTATTCTGTTAGGAAGAGGATATTATCACAGCAACAAAATGAAATAGAAGAGGATAACCACTGTCATATTGTGAGACGCTAATCGATATCGTGTGCTCAACTCAAAAGGCAGAATTCTGATTGCCGATTAGTTAACCTACATAGTCATCAGGACCGGTAACTTTCCAAATACTAAGTGATACACCGAACAATGAATAACAAGCGAGAGCTTAATGCTTGTTGGTTCTGTCAGTCAGTCAGTCGGCTACAATGTAGGACCAGGCACATATCTGCATCGGTCCAGGTTGCCATACCTCATTAACGCAACAACATGGACACCGGATTCATAAAATTAGTTAATTCAGAGGTGGTAATATATAAAAGAAAGATTGTAATAAGGATATAGTACAGGAAGAAGGAATTAGTTCGTAGAAAGAAAGATATGAAGCGATTTTAATCTCGTATTTTAAGGGAAGACAGAGAGTGTATACACCGACGCCATTGTGATCGATTCTGAGCCATGTCACCTAGAGTCTTCAACCATTGGTTACGACAGTCACGCGGACCCCAACCAAGTAGTCTGTATCGACCAACATGGCTCAGACTAGAAGTTAGTGTCTTCAAGCACTGATGCCACGTTTTGGTTTGGCCGCCCCTAACTTTCTTCCAACCATCTCCAATACCGGATAGCATTGCACGTCGTGGTATTCGGTGTTCAGGCATACGTAACACGTGGCCCAACCATCTCAGTCGATGAAGATTCACAACCTCATCGACTGATTTACCATCATTCCCTAATACCCTGCGTCTAACCTCACTATTACTTACCCGGTGATCCCAGCAGACGCCAGCAATATTTCTAAGGCATCTGTGGTCAAATACTAGTAGCTTGCGAGTGTCTTCTACTCTTAATGGCCATGTTTCGCTGCCGTAAATTAAAACAGAACGGACTGCCGCACAGTATACTCATCCTTTTATTGATAGACGGATATCGCGCCTTCGCCAAAGGTGACGTAAGTTGGCAAAAGCCAAACGAGCTTTTCGAATCCGTGCTGAGATTTCGTCCGATACCAACCCATTAGGGCTGGTCAGACTTCCAAGATAAGTGAAGCTGTCAACACGTTCGACTACTTCACTCCCTATCCTTAGTTTAGGTGTTGACGCAGACCAGTCCTGAAGCAGCAGCCTGCATTTAGAGGGAGAGAAGCGCATTCCAAACATTCTGGCATTGTTGCTTAGTGCTACCAAAAGACTCTGCATTTTATCAGCGTCTTCACCAAACAGGACAATGTCATCTGCGTATTCCAAGTCGATAAGTGGACCTCCTGGAAGGAGATCAATACCCGAGAATTCAGTCGACGAGAATGTTATTTCCATTAGTAGATCTATGATGAAGTTAAACAAAAATAGAGAAAGTGGACAGCCTTGACGGACACCACTTGGGGTTGCAAAAGTAGATGACAGTTCGCCATAAGCTCTCACTCGACTGGTAGTGTTCGAGTAAAGGTTTATGTACTTCCGAGGTACGCCTTTCAATGACAGACACTGCCACAGAATCTCGTAGTTTACAGAGTCAAATGCTGCTTTTATGTCAAGAAAGACCACCATTGTCGGACGCCGATAAGTATGCCTGTGTTCTAGAACCTGACGAATGGTGAATATATGGTCGATGCAGCCACGACCAGGTCTGAAGCCAGCTTGATTCTCTCGTGTTTGCAGTTCACGAGTCTTAGTTAGGCGTCTGATAATTATCGAGGCTAGTATTTTAGATACTATATTAGTTAAACTAATCCCTCTATGGTTGTCACAGGATGATTTTAACCCTCTCTTATATATTAGGATGATAAGTGATTGCGACCAGTCAGATGGAATAACGTCTAACTCTCAGATCTTAGCTAAAATATTAGTCAACCTAATCGCTAAAATTGGACCACTATCCTTAAAGACCTCTGGAGCCAATCCATCTGGACCAGCTGCTCTTCCTCGTTTCAGATTAACTATAGCCTTTTGAACTTCTGCTAGAGCTGGGGGACCTACTTCAATGTTCCATTCACACTGTCTGGGAATGGAGGGTAGTTGTAGAGTAGCCGAAGGCCAGCTGAACTGTTCTCTGAAATGTTCCGCCCATCGTTCTAAACTTTTGGACTGAGAGCAGATCAAAGTGTCGTCTTTTTCAGAAATAGTCTGACTTACTCTTGACTTATTAATTCCAGTTTCTTTTATTAGTCTGTAGAGTTGTCTTGAGTTCCCTATAGCCGCCGCCTTTTCCATCTCTTTTGCTTTCGTTGCCCACCACTGTTCACGGTCGTTCCTTAGACTTTTGCTTAACCTAGATCTAATTTGTTGTCGCTCTTCATCGTGTTCAGAACCTGATGGGATGAATTTACGAGAATCCATCAGTGCAATAGACCTTGAGGAAATCCATTGGTACTTTGTAACCCTGTGGTTTAAATCACTGATAGAAGTCACTGCTGTTTCCATAGCTGTTTGTATTATTTTTTCCAAGCAACATCTGCGTCAACCTCGTTTTCAGAACTTCCTAATTGTGACGTCAGTTGTTCCTGGAACCTACTTTTTTATTTTCTCGCTACTTAATTCAGTTCTAATGGGGCTTTTTAGCGTGGCTTTTTTGCGTCAGTGAGGAACAAGCAGATGCGTGCCCGTATTAGGGCATGGTCGGAGTTCAAGCAGGTACTTCAGAATGAGCGATAATCTTCTACCGACCCTCTCCAACGATGACTGATGGAAATATGGTCTATTTGAGTCCATCGTTGGTTTGGTGTAGGGGGACGCCATGTTAGACGATGTCTCTCCTTATGCTTAAAATTTGTCTTTGCTAAAAATAAACGATTTTCTGAGCACAGTTGCAGCAGACGATCACCATTATCTGTTCGTTGTGCCGGAATACTAAAATTCCCACCTAAATGCCTTCTGTTTGGTTTAAACTGCCTATCTGAGCATTAAAATCACCTGCTACGAGTACTATGTCTGAGCGTTTAGCTTTCTGAAGAAGTTCGGACAGCTTTCTGTAAAATTCATCTTTCACATCATCTGAGCTGCAGTCAGTGGGAGCGTAGGCAGAAACGACAAAAAGGCAACGACGTGTGTCCCTATCCCTCCGAGTTCTTACGTAGCCGTTCAGCCGAACAGCACATAGACGACTGTTGACGGGGATCCACTCTAACAGTGCTTGTTCCGCCCTCATGCTTAGTGCTATGCCTACACCTGCCAGTCCACGAGAACTGGCCGTCGGGTCACCAGATACATGGAGGGTATATCTCGATGGCTCTCCGTTTTGCCGAGGTGAGGTCAAGTGAATGACCACACTGGGATCCTGTATGCGTGTTTCAGAGACACAGTATACATCAATGGTACGAGATTCTAGGGTTCTAGCCAAGGAAGCCTGTTGACCGATTTGACATAGAGTGCGTACGTTGAAGGCTCCAATGTGTAGTTTGGAGCGAGGTTTCAGTAGACCTGGGACAGTGTTTTGAGCACTAGAATCGTTGGCTATGGTGACACTTGAGGGGGAAGCCGAAAAAGGAAGTTTAGAGGTGAAATCCGATGTAGGAGGAATAATAGGAAGTGAAGACGGAGGTTGATTATGAATACAGTGGTCTTGAGTGCTGTTAGAGGTATGAGGGTGGTTATTCACTTCCCGGTTGCCCACACCGTGGAAGGGTTCTTCTGGAGGTACCTGAAAAGGAATTTGGATTAGAGGTGGTCTTAGTGACCTGAGAGCGTGACTGCATAGCCCAAGGGAAAACTGCTTGAGGTCGGTCACACATGACCTTTTTATGGGTAATTTTTGTGTTAGCTCCGTACTTGTTGAGACCTTACCGCCGGAGACGGATATTCGTGGGATAAGAAGAGGTATGCATTTTTAGGGTCGACCTTTTCTAACCCCACCCCTCCTTGTGGGAAGGTAGCACCGCTGTCATGCTGGTTGTCTGAAGGAAACACCTTACTACTGTCACACCTCTGTACAGTCAGCAGTACGACTTCGCCTTCGGACCTTGGGTTTGTTGCTTTTAGTCTTACCGCTCTTCAACCGACCTGTCTGACATGGTAGGACCTTGAGGAACGGTTGTTCCAGCTAGTATAGCTCGGTTGCTTCATCACGATAGGCAAGCCGGACCACCACGCCAAGGTAGCAACAACGGTCCGGTTGTCGGTTATGGAGCTCCACCAACCCATTAGCCAGTCAAAAGGCGAAGATAGGAAGCAGATCAATACTCTATCACACTTAGTTCAATTATGACTCAAAGCAAATACAATCATAAACTTGAGATCCCTGAACCAAACAGTACACTAAATAAAATTCACACTTTAAGCAGAATCAAGCCACAAGTGGAGGGGAAGCGAAGCAAATGGTACATACGTGATTAGCAATAATCAGAGAATATTGAAACGTATAACGACAGTTAATAGGTTCCCTGAAAGCTTAGAATAAAGGGAATATAAAAATGAAACAATACAGTTATCTATTAACTATACAATAAAAAAATAAATAATAGTAATTAAAGAAAAATAGTTCTAAAATTTCAAACTTTTTCATCCTGATTTAATAATTACGAGACATCATTAACTCACCGATGTGCCTGACATGTTCTACAACATCTCGACGCATATCAGACACATCCCACATAGACCGCCATGAGTAACAACAACTCGTTGGTTCCGAATTAGGATCGACATATGGCGTCCAAGTGAAAGAGAAGTGATGGGCTATTGCGGCAATGAACATCTCGATACATATAGCGAAATTCTGTATAGGCACAAAATAAAACAGTTCGTATAAAAAATTAAGCAATTCTAACAGCCAGGTTGTTTGAGTGGTTGATAAAAAATGGACATAAGCCAGAGCAGACTAACTTTTTAAAAATACTTCAATCATAAAATACCACTAAGGAAAAGCAGTGGAATAAAATAAGGTAAAGAATAAACTATTAAAACAAAGTCAAATAAATTAGGATATAAACAAAGCTATTCGATATTCCTTGGGACTATATCTTTTGAATGCACATTAAACAGTTTCAACACTCGCTGTGAAGTGGAATGAATTATAATAACTTATTTCTTCATTACACAAAGAATAAAAACAAACCTTTTGGGAATGTACTTCTAAAGGCTAAAGTATTGGGTTGATAGCACAAACCTCGCCAACAAAATACAGTTTGGTTAGTGGGATAGTATCACTAACCTTCACAAAATTACATGAGACTCAAAGCCGAGTACTTGATCCTGCACATATGTAAATAAGTTTCATAATTAAAAACTTAAGTGACAAGTTATCCCCATTTGGAAATTAAAAACACGAAGTTCAGTTAAAAGATCTCTTTTCAACGAAATTATCAGGCTGTACAATCGTATATAAGTGCTAGTTCCGTGAAGACATATGAGCAAGGAATAACCAAAATGATGTAATCGAAAGGTTATAACACTATGTGAGTAATAACAATAGATTTAATAAGTTAGTAACAAATTATAACGTGAATGTATTAAGATGATTAACATAATTTCGTTACAATAATTAAAGGTAACAGAGGTGCAAAATAAATTAAGTGATATCATGAGTAATTATGAATAAGATAATAAGAATATGAGACATAAGTAAAGGGAGAAATGAAATAATAATAATAATAATAATAATAATAATAATAATAATAATAATAATAATAATAATAATAATAAAGGTCAAGGTGACGATAACGATAGGACGGACTTCTTTTGTACACACAGTTCTGACTTGAGCCTATGAACAGTAAGAGCTTCTACCATATTTAAGAGTTGGATACGAAGAAACCTAAGTAAATTTGGATGGATCGTATATACAACCTTAAAATCAACCTTTGGACCAGTAGAATGATTAGAATTGATTAGAGTTGTTCAAGTATGGAACATCTAACTACTTTCATATCACCATTATAGAACCACTCTGGGACATGTTCCCGTATCCGAGTTGAAATCGGGTGCTGGTTACGGCCGGTGTACCTTGCTCCACAAGAGCAGGTGAACTGGTAGATGCACATGGAGGCGATCAGATGAAGCGTATCCTTTATGGATACAGAAAACAAGTTGCTACTAATGAACTTAAGTGATGTAAGACATAATATGAGCACTCTAATAAGAAGATTACCAATCTCATGAAATATATATTTGGTTAGTATATGCAGAGTTTACATCACACAGTGTATAATTGCTACTAACATCAAATGGTTTTTAAAGAAGTATCAAAACATTTAAATATATCTAAAAAACTCTGAACTACTAACAAGTAGCATAAACAATATAACAAAAGTTATTATCAAAATATGAAAATTTCGTATTTACTTGTAGTGCGATACCAATAGACTGAACATCATATAGTTTCCAGGCTTCCACCTTTCTGATAACACCAGTAGCAGCAAGTACTGCGATTAAAATGGACTGCCTATTAAGAAAAATCAAACGGGAGTTAAAACAGCATCAATTTATAAGCTACTTTCTAAGATGAAACTAAAAAATGCCGACAAAATCGTAGCAGAAAATGCAACAGAAAATGATACGAATGATATGTTATTAAATTCATAGTACAGAGGAACTAGTGGCCAGTAAACAAAAAACTTTTAATTCCACTATATAATAAAATCTATTGCTGATATACTGAATGAAATGGTTTCATCTTGAATTGAGGTGGATTGTGATAACGTGGATCGTTGCACTTTCGTGTTGACTCCTGTGTTATTATAAACTGACAAAATAAACAGTGACAGAACCGTTTGTAAGAACATATTGATAGTCACAGACCTAATACTGTAAATATTAGACAGAAATACAAACCGTTGCCAAACTTTATTTAATAGAAAAAGAAGGCAATAATATCATGCATTTACACTGGCAATCTATTGACAAACGAAGTAAATACCCTCCTTTACTGAACGCTGTGGTCGATTTACATCTTAGCCAATTATGTATGCTACAACGAACAACAACTTGTCATACCGTGGAAATGTACTTACAGGAAGTGTTTGTAGGTAGACAACGTACTTCTTGATCTCGGATGAAAGTCAGCATTATGATCTATCCGGACATCATTGTCTGTGAAATAGTAGAGTAACCGACTGAGCATCATATCGGTTAGAGCAGAGTTTCAGGTGACAGAAGTATACAATTAGAGGCGGTGATTGAAGTTCAACGGCTGGTAGATGATTAGTTTTAGTTGTAAGTCATAGTCCATATAATAACCAATATAATTTATGAATGGCAAACTGAGAAGTGTAGATTATTGTAAGGAGAGGAACGAGATCATTAATATGATTTAAGTCATCCCGTAGAGATGGGTGACGATACCATTACGAACCATTTTGTATCCTGGTTACAATTATCCACTTAAAATTCATTGCACCTACTACGATTTGCATTTAATACAAACACAAACTACTATTAAAAATACAAAGCCAACACTAAATTACACGAGCAGAATTTAGTGTATTAAACATTCAGTTTCAAAACAACTCATTTTTCAAACATAAAGTGGTGTTCGTCAGGGTTCCCGACCTTCTTCATTTGCATTTGACTTTGCCATCAAAATTCTTTGGGAGATAACCTTTTCAATCTTTTTAGGGAGACCTTGGGTAACACGGGTCGAAATTAGTAGCGTTGGCGCAGATGCATTTACTGTTTGTAACCCCTCAGATCCTGGGTTTTAAAATCAGTTCACATTTTTATATTACACCAATCCTAACTTTTCTCCTTAGAATCCTATTCTCTGTTTCCTAACATCACTGATGATGTTACTACTTCTACTACTTCAGTAGTTGTCTTAATAATTTCATATTGCTATGACTATATAGTATGCAAACTCGAAACGATCCACACATGTGCCAGGCTCTATATTGTTTTAATTGACTGATTTTCGATACACCTGGAATCAATTAATACTAAACTTGTAATAATCAACCCTTCAACTTGCTACTAAAACTATCTATATTTTGGCATAAAACGGTACATGGGACGTCACGAAATTAGATGTTTTCAATTCCTAAAATAATATCACTGCAGTTCTGTCGTATGATATAATTAGAGATATTAAAGCTACCATTTATAAAATACAGTTATTGTAAGTTCAAATTGTGATGGCCGTATTTTCAATAAAAAGTAATTAAACTCACCAGAAAGACATGAAAACAACGAATTTGACGCATAGAAATTTGGCGACCGGTTTCATTGGACTTAATTCTAATCGAGTACACCGATAGAACATTACTAAACAATAGAGTGCCCACTGAAAGAAGAGTAAGAAAAAACTTTAGGAAAAAGTATGTAATCTGATTTTTCGAAGAAATAAAATAAGATTTTGAAAAGCTTATAAAGCTGCGAATCTAAATAGCTGTATTGCCGAAATATGATATATTTCAAACACATTTCTCAACTAGACAGATTTAAGTGACAATAACAGATAGTGATTGTAAATAGGAAGATAAATTTCGTTAAGTAGAACCATCAAAAACCTATAAACTGTAAACTGAATAAAACACGACACTTTCAAGTGTTATGACTAGCTAAATAAAGTTCACTCAATAAATATGAACAAAACAGTCTACATTTCCAAACTTACACCAACTTATGTTTGTAGATACATGGTTGGTAGAATTGTATTTGGTTTGAAAATATATTTTACTACCGATTATCGTCAAAAAACTAGGGGATATAAAACGATTTTTTCAGTCCCATTTGTAAACATTTTTAGAACCACTGAAAATATTTTGATGAAGTTCGTTTAAAACAGAACTGTTTAGGAACCTCAGCCAGTTGTTAACAATGTTGCACCTAACACACATGTGCATTGATGTAAGTTGCTACAACTTGCATCAAAGCTGCAAGGGACTAAGATGAAGATCAAAATCGTCAAAATACAGATATTATGAACGACAGCAAACAACCACACATACACAACACAGAAACCGTTTTAGGCTGGGTCTGGATCGGCTGAACATGTGAACACACCACCCAGTCGGCCGAGGAAATTATTGTCTTAAAGGAATATCTACGACAAAATTGAATAATCCCGAAAAGTGAGTAGCCCTGAAGAATTCCACTTAATGTGGCAGATTCACATTATAGTTCGCCACAGCATGACTCAATTGACAGTATTCGAGTAAGGTCCTCCACGAGCTAACGTACTTTATTGGTAGTCCTTTTAACAACAGATACTGCCACAAAACACTAGAAGATCAAAATGTGGTCTTGAGGTCAATAAACAGAACTGCCGTCAGATGTTAAAATGTATTTACATGTTCTAAAATTTATTAAAGTGAATAAGTGATCAACCCAATCATGACTAGGTCTGAAGTAATAACTAGTTTATTCAGCTACGTTGTTTATAAACCCGTAAATACGGGTTAGGTGATTGTATACCGCAATATCTTGAGAAACTTTATCAGCCAAGAGATGTCTATCAGTTATTAGAAGAGCATTGCAGAACCTCTTCATATGTTGAAACAACTGGATGTGGTCTCTAAAATCACCAGATGAGATCAATATTACATTATCATATCAGTTCACAACCGTTATAAAAAATTTGGATTTTCGAGATACATCGAGGTTAACGATATATTCACCTTTCAAGTTAACCATGTAAACCAACTAATTTGAATTGATTTTGGAATTGTGAAGGATTCATAAAAGCTGGAACATAAAACTCCTGAATTTCAGCCGAGAAACTAACTCTAATGCACATGAACTACATAAGTACTGAATACTTTATGAGTAACAAATAAAGCAAAGAATTAAACTTGAGTTATAGTTTCTCAAAATATTCATTTTACGAGTAAGATAAATGAAGTGGATGATTCAAATGGGGAAAAATAGTGAAAACTTATGATACGTTACTCACAATTTGAGAGACATTGTTTATAATAGTCAAGTAAAGGAACGCGTGGCGAAAGTTGAAGTCTCCTTCACCATAAACGCCAACCATTTCACATATTCTGTAATCAGATAAATTTCATATAATTTTATCAGAAAGCTGAAATTTCAAGCCGTAAAAATAAAAAACGTTCAACCGCACAATATCTGTGGACATCTATTTGTAGAGAAATTATTTTAACTGGTTTTCGTAGATAAGATGCTAGTAAACAAAATTAAGTTTCAAATGTAGTGTGGCTCATTCTGAATGCGCCCAAATAAAACAAAATCTTCATAAATAAATAAAACAAAATGACCAAAACAAAATCTATTCCATTCAATAAAAAACACTTGTCACTAAGAGTGCAAAACAAATATACAGCAATAATGTCAAAAGCTTCGTTTATTTATGATACTGTATTAAGTCATTAGATTGAGTTGTCTCTATAACGGCCTCCAAAGAAGCAGTGGCGTTTTAGAACACGCAAAACTCGTACAAAGATCTCTTATCCCATCAGGCTATTTCATAAAATAATTGTCTCTCCTTAAAAAATTACTGTAATTGGACATAGAAGCACCATAAACCATGAAAGTGATTGGTATAACCGGGGAGGCAAGATCATGTGAATATCCAATTGGGTATTATGTTCTACAAAGGATAAATTAGTAATGCGATGGTAAAGCTTTGACAACAATTTTAGTTGTTTGATTTGATATTTATTTAGAACATAAGTGACTCTATATAGTAGTTTGAGGAGAAGATATGGTAATTTTTAAGATTAAATGATTACCTAAAGCTCTACAAGTGAGTAAGGAGAAGGACAGAATAAAGCCAATAGTAAAGGAACCAAAATAAAAGAAACAACATGAGGGCTGATAATGATTATGTACAATTCTTAATTTACAGTTCATGGAAACGAGCATAAACACGTGAAGTCATACACTGTTTGCAACTTATGTGATAAAACCACACTACAAATGAAGAATAACCACCAGAAAACAATTATTGGGTAGCGTAATCTTCGAAAAGCAAATGCGTATATAAGAAAATCAACCTACAGTGCAATAGCAGTTGTTAGTGGACGAATAACGGTGTACTGCAAGGCCCCGTGACGACAGTGGTCAATGAATACTCTGTAACAGATAAAAAGAATTAACTTCATTCGGACCATCACCGAAGACAGGAATAGTGTGACATGAATCAAGCTGAGAGTATGGTATTTTTATAACAACAAAACTATATTTCTAAAGATATTATAACTAAAAAGTATTTCTTGTGTCTATTTAATACTAACCAGTGAATTAAACATTTTTTACTTTTAAAACACGATATCATCATACAAAGACGAAGAAGCATAACATCAATAAAAGACCTAAAGACCAATAAAAGATCTTCCTGGCTTCGTTATTGAGTACCATGAGGATTTGCTTGCAATTTTTCTTGCCCTAAGTGTTAAACTGACGATAAGTTTGCATAGTTTTGCCATGAGTTAACAGCAATTGAAGTATCATAAAATTATTGGGTTACCAACAACATCCCATTTGATGCCTAATTATGACGAAAATAAACTACAAATCGAATCTAAGTCATGATTGTCTCCAAAACCTAAGATTTAGATAGGACAGCGATTGAAAATGAATATCCATTTAAGGAAAGAAATACACATATTGGACAATATTTGTGTAATGCGTAAAATAAGTAAGCTGACCACAGGTATACACTTTTAGAAAACAGATCAGCCTTACCACTTTATACTTTATACAGAGAAAACGTAAGCAACAGATCTAAGTTCAGTGAACCTAAAGTGGTGAGAAATCAGGAGAAATCTAGCGGACGAAAATCAACCAAACCAAAGGATACCTTTTTGAAGTAATGACCCTGGAAGAGAAGTAAGCCACATCCACATGAACCTCTAAAATTTATTTAGATTACTAAGGAGGGAAACTGGTATATGCGCATAAATAATGAACGACCAGGGCAGTGAAAGCGATACGGGAGTTAATGACGTGAGTACCCTAAGTATTTGCAGTGTCTTTGTAGTCGAAGCCAAACCAAAAAGAAAAAGGTGATTGAATTTCATAATACGAACTAACGAATTAAATCAAAACTGAATACACAGTTAAAGGTTGATTGAACAAGTGGTTTCAACTATTCTCCCGTGAATCTTAGATTGTAAAAAAATGGCAAAAACTTCAGACGTTTGCGATTTAAACAAAAGTTTAAAGATAAATAAATGTGGATACGTTCTAAGGAAAAAAATACTCCGGAGTTATTTACAATCACGAAAATTTTGTAGAATAAACAAAACTCCACATAGATGCACAATCAAAAGAATATTTTCCGTAACATTTTGGTCACAGTATTTTATTTGCAAAGTGACTGGCTGATTGACATGACGGGTTCAGAAAGAACGCCATAACTACTATTTAAAGATACAAGAGTTATCTTAAAATAGCTGATCTATACCATGCGTGATAAGAATGGAACATTAACTAAAATCTGTGAAGATCAGAATAATAGACGTTACCTTCCCATTTTCCAAGAGTTTAAGAAACAAAACGGCGGCAAGTGTTTCATTTGTGGCTTCTGTTCAATAACGCATCGTAAGTCAGGAAACTCGCTCCTCAAATAATTAAGCAAAAACGCAAGAAAGTTGTAAATGACATAAGCTTCATAGCATTCTCTTAACGTGTCAAAGTAAATTGCAAATGAAGGGAAAATCAGTGCCAACCACTAATGTCAAGTGTCAAGATAATATATATGACGTTTACCGCATCAGCAGCATAAATCGGAACCATCCACAAGATTCTGAAATGAAACTCGTCAAAAACCAGACAAACCTGATAATATGTCTTTGAAGAAGTGGATTGGTGTAATTGATCATGTGCTCAATTATGGTCCATAGTGATATAGGTATTGCACCTAGAACAAAAAGTCCGGCGACGAACCACGCGCTGACTATTGCCGGAGCCGATTTTTCGTACAGCTTTAAAATCAGAAAAGGAAGTGTAATACATATAAGTAAAGAATAGCAAACAACAAATATGGGCTTGATGAAAGCGCGCCAACTCATGTTATTAAGGTCAAATTTGCGCGAAGCGCTTATCACACTTAAACTAGAAGTGCTTCAAGTGCTTGTTAATAGAATGGTTGATGCTTGAGCTTATTGAGGTTTTCTGTTTAGAAACGATGGGTTATGGATCGTTTTGAGTGTTAAATATGTATGAACGGACATTCTGAGTGCATGAGATTCTGCTAAACTTGCTCTTCAAAGTTACTAGAACCACTTCAAACGTAAGGAAGTTCCAATACCTAAGGACATTAAATACAATCGAGCTTGCTTTGTCTCGCATAAACCTACAAGTATCCGAAACTTGAGACTGTCATGAATTCTGAAGCGAAAGGAGTGCTCTGGACGATTTTTTGATGGTTTTGTCACACATTGGGTTATAATGAGGTAGCTTTCGAACATCCAATGCTGCAAAGATTTGGTATTCAATTTTGTCGGAGCCTTCCCAATATAGTTACGATGAAAAACAATGAACTAATTCAGTAGTTTTACATTAGATATACTGAAAGTTCTCTTTATTTTAAATGAGGCTGAATAAACCAGTAGGAAGTGGGTAAAACCTTATACAACCAAACTAACCAAAAGTCAATAATATTGTGTCAGGACAAGATGCAGCTAATAGCTTAGATTCCTGAACTTCCTCTTCAAAGTAGATCTTTAGTGGAGGATTATTTAATTCGCACCCGTGATTTCGGTCGCACGACGGTCAGAATAACTTACAACCTCCAAAGTTAAACACTAACCTATAGTACACCCAGTACCAATCTTCTTCAGCCTGTCCGTAAGACAACTGTGACTAACTATATCTAAGGCCTCTGAAAAGTAAATACGAGCTACACCAACCTGATCCTTACGACCAGGGATAACGGTTGTTTTATCCATCGCAGCCAGTAAATTCATTTTCCATGAGTGGCTGCTCCTAAAGCCGCACTCCTGAGATGTCGGGAAAGTCATGAATGAATGATTATCACACGAGCTATAATTGACCAAAGATCCCATGACCACAACGAAAACAGTAAGAAGAGCAAAGTAATCCCATAGAGCCGAATTCGCTTTTTAGGAGTTGAGTTATTAGAATGGGAAGCTAGGTTGCGGAAGTACGCATAACCATGAAGCAGATTGTGAGGAAGCTTTAAAAAGCTCAGAATGAGCCGAGGATATCCCATCCAATAACCTTTTGGAAGAATACTCCAGAATCTCTGAGTGTAGCTTCCCGATTGAACAACGCTAATCCATTGGGGTTCCCCCGCGTGGATTCCACCCCCTGTGTGCTGATCGGATAGCTGTAATGATGATTTCGTTTTCGCTAAAAACTATAAATACCTGACACTGTGTACTATAATTTGACGCCGTCTGGAATAACATTCCTTCCACTAGTCTTCTGTCTTCTTAATGTGACTCGGAAGGGTTCTAACGTTCCAATGCTCAAGTGTTACGCGTCATATCCAGAATATAAGTATCTAGAGATATAAAAACTGGTGATCATTCTCCAAATTAAAGGATCAAAGTCAGCCTGTAATTGGGCAAAATTCAGTGTATTCCTTTCGACCAATCATCTACAGGGTTCTTGCTGGTGTCATTGAACAACATCGATTGTTAATGAGTCATACAGTATCTTTCATTACCTTGCTGATCCAGAAAATGGCTATCTCTTCCGATCAATTACAGTTACTAGTTGAGCGAAAACAACAGCGTTTCAAAAAGATCCAGTTGAATGTTTTAAACAGTGTACGCACAAGGCTTCTAAATCCTCCATTTTTTGGAGATGTGACAGTTGATGAATTAATTTCTCATCTGCATACAGAGCTGGAAAATGACTGCAGAACGTATGGACATGTCGTTGAAAGCCTCCGTGAATCCTTGATGAACGGTCATGTAAACGAAGCAGTAGAAGTCATTCGTGATCCGCCCAGTGGTCCAAAAATGTCCATTTCAAAGGCATGCCTTGTTGTGGGTTCAAATCCCATTATCACTGAAACACAATGTACAAACACTGACTTATCCAGATCACAGAAAGAAGATGTCTTAATAAATGATTATGAAGTTATTGCATTACCCGTCCACGAAGAAACAGAAAATGAATCGAGCAGCATCATGAAGACAGTTGCATCAAATGGAGCTCATCATTCCGCGACAAAAGTCCCCGAAAATCTAAATATTTCGTGATAGAAAAACATGGAAACATCGACACAGTAAGTATTGATAGGCTAAAGCCGGCTTATCTAGATCATGAACCACCATACGTGTTGTTAGATCGTTTAACTGACAAATCCATTACGGAATCGAAATGCAAAAACGATAAATCTTTACAAATGACTAAAACGGTTCGCTGGGCACATCCGATTAGCCAATCAAGGATGTTGACAGTTTCAGCTGCAGGATAAAATCTAACCACGTAGCTAATCAGACCCTTCATCTACTTAAAAATAACTTTTCTCCTCATTCCGCCTCACCTACAACTCCCCAGACCTTTTGCCTTTGATATATAAGTGTTATGTTAAATTTTTTTTAAATACTGGACACATAAGCTAGGTATTCCGAAACGATGGCTGCGGATTTTAATCAAACTCATACAACTAACACTGGCAAATACAACGAATTCAAAAAGCAACCCAGGCGAGTTTTATAATTTCTTTTTCTGGTTAATTAACTATGTTGGCTGTACTTATATATCTATATACATATATACCATATGAACTACTTCTAAAAGTTTTCGGTCGAAGATGTGTTTAGTAGCTTGATACGCTTAATACTACTATTAATAAGTGGTTTTCTAGACAAAACATTTTGGATTAAACTATGGTCAAATACTTAATAAAGTTCTCATCATTTTTTTTTTCATGTTTAGGAAACTTACATAATGACTTAACCAGTTTTCCTACAGCATCCTTTTTAGTGTGATCATATAACCCATCATTATTGGCAATATTCAAATTTTTTTTAAATTTCTGACATTTAAGAATCAATAACCGTGAAGATATAGTACAGTGCGTTACTGTAAGGTTACTATGTTAGCCGCATTGATTCCACATACCTAATTTTAAACACAACTTATAAGGGAACTGTTAAGTAATCACAACATTGAACTAATATGAATATCACAGCTATGCTAACGTTAAACCAATTATTATTAGTGGTCCATACAAAATCCTGAAACTTAACACTAGCGTTATAAAAAAACATGTTATGTCAATAACTTATATATATATACCTTTTTTTTCTCTCGTTGGTTTAATTATAAAGTAAAATGGAAATCTACCACACTTGTAGTTTTTTTTTTCTATAGCATTATTATTAATAAAAATAAAGAACTTGTACTATTCCAATATGGCACTTTGACATATCAATCCGTCCTCCTGTTATCTTTCTCTCATATCTGAGCAACATATGGCCAACAAACATCGTATTGAAGGGGGTTTTGGTGAACGAAAACGCTAGCCCCACACGCACTCGAACCTCTGCCCTCCTGGATGCTAGACCGTGTGCCTAGCCATTAGACCACATCAAACCACGGGCGAATGACTGCAATCTTTCCTTTTACCGATTAATCGTATATAATACTAATGAGTAATAGGACTTACACATTTCTAAGGCGCAGACAAATTCGTTACTTGGATGAATTGACGAAATATTGTTTCAGTATATCATACATACTTAGATCAAACCAGAAAAGAGTATTTGACACAATTGTACTTAATCCTCATAATCTACACAAATTTTTCTCCTCCTTAACCGTATATTCTTTTCCGTTTTGTGGAGTACAACTATGCACCCTTGGTTACGTACCTGGTTATAAAAGGCGGTCGTCATAGGCCCAAGGTCATACATTTGATCGGGTTTGACAATGAGTCCAACTTCTAGCAAGTTTACACTTTTACATATATGCATTATAAAAAAGTATTTTTTTTGTGTTCATACCTTTTCGTACATAAGATGGCTACACTATGTCTATTTTCTTCCAGAATACCAATCCTTTCTGGAGGCCAATCACTTACGTGGAACCGAACAATTATAAATTATATTTTTGTATTTCCATTTTGTATCTTATTATTTTTATGCAGGCAGTGGAGCAGTTCTTCAGGTGTGATTGGTTTTCACCATTACCTTTGAAGTAGATTCTTCTTTACTTTTTACTTGAGGGCGACTCAAGAGGCAGGTGAGTAAACACCTGATAGCCGGTCTGAGCATGGAAAAATCGTACCTCACCAACATGGTGTTGGGTAGCCCGCTCGCGGCACTTCCTCAGATATTCTTATTCCACATTCTCACACTCTTTCTCTTGAAAGCACGCAGTAAACCGTCAGCGATAGTTGTAGAATAGATCACATGCTACAAAATAAAATGACAAGCTGGTAAATGAGGAGACATCCATGGACTATCGTTGACAGCGTTAGTCGTCACTGATTGTAAGTCAACTAGTGAGCGAGTTGATAATTTTCCCTTGGGATGAGAAATAGAACTAAGGTGTTTTCGATGGATAGGTTAATCGAACCGACGTTCCTACGGAAGTCGATTCTAGGGGGAAGCTAATGTAACAGCTCAGGTTGGTTGGTTAAGAGTTGACCCCAAACAACCAAGCTTATGCCAAAACAGTATTGTTCAAGTATTCATTCACTTCCTTATTTTTCATAAGCGTTATATTCCCTATTATCTTATATTGAATGTTGAGAGCCTTTGTTTGTCTGAACAGATAACCCCACGCTCCACTGCGACTGCGCTAAGATCGAAATAAAGACCTATTCACTACTTCTCTGGTTTCTTCTATCAATAGCACGAGGGTTACCTTAAGGCACGAAAAATGTACTTATCGAGGTTCTTTAGTTGTTTTACCAGATATGAGTTATCTTAATGACTCACATGTTCTTAATCAAATATCTAACAAAAGTGAGAAAATACATCGAATGCATCAAGTGATGATCAAGAACCCAATGAAATTTTGATAGATGCTGATTATTCTAGTGATCCATTATCTACTTATGAGATTTCCAAGAGATCTGATGGAA